GTCAGAGCTGAGCTCCGAATTTACTAGTCTGCCACCCACTCGTATTAAGCCATCGCTACAAATAAATGGGGATAAAGCTAGTACGTTACTTGTTGTATGAAGGGTCCGACCTTCCTGAAGGTTCTTGTATTCTGCGGAAAAGACTTGACGCTGTATGGATTTGCAAATAATTTGCAGTGCGGTTAGTATGCCCTGGGGGGGCACGAAAATTGTAGGTTCGCTGGGACGATGCGATTTGACAAATCTTAAACAATATGTGAGTATGCGACACGCTTTACTGAGCTTTGAATGATCGCGCAGTAATTGGTGCACAATTAAAGAATCGGACACGGCGACGGCCGTGAAGCACTTCCTTTGTTCGGGAATGTTCTCCAGGGAACGCGTGAAACCGGAATCGGGCCAAAAGCTAGAGTTATGCTGTAGGTAGCTAGGCCCATGCCACCACATACGAGAGCTTATTAGTTCCTGTGGGTCGAGACCGCGTGACAGGAGATCCGCTGGATTGTCGGTCGATTTTACATGATGCCAATCGTCGGGATTGGTATAGTTTTGAATTTCTCCCACCCTATGAGCGACGAAAACTGACCATCTTCGCGACGGGGAGGATATCCAGTTGAGAACAATCGGTAGAATCCGACCAACAATATGTTCGGATGCCGGTTAAATCGAATGTCGACCGAATTTTCTGAATTAACCTGGTTAATAGTAGCGCCGCTGAAAGCTCAAGGCGCGGAAGTGATAGCGCTTTGAGGGGTGCTACACAAGATTTTGAGCATAGTGACTCCATTTGATACGTATTTTTCCCGAGTTCCGACCGAATATATACACAAGCTCTATAAGCCCGTTGGCTTGCATCGCAAAAGCCGTGTATTTGAATGGAATCGGGGGATGCGACATGCTTGATACATCGCGGAATACTTAGTCGATTAATATCAATCATTTGTGTTTTGATCTCTGACCACCGCGCGTGAAGCTCTTGCGGAACCGATTCGTCCCAGTCGATACCCAGCTGCCAAAGCTCTTGTAAAATTAGCTTTGCCCGCACGACGACTGGACCTACTAGACCGAGGGGATCATAAAGTTTGGAAGTATCGGACAAGATGGCTCGCTTGGAAATTATCGCGGAGTTGTCCCCGGGGTTGTAAGAGAAACTGAATGCATCGCTAGAGTGCATCCAATGAATGCCCAAGATGGACGATTCCGAGTTATTGGGGATTGCAACCGGTGCGTTATTTTGATCCTTGATTCCCGTCAATAATTCGGGAGCGCTGGATGCCCATTTTCCGAGCTCGAAGCCACCACAACGTAATACCTTAATTGCTTCGTCGCGTATTATTAATGCCTCGTCTATCGTGTCGGCTCCCGTGAGCATGTCGTCAACATAGAAGTCGCGCTCAACACATTTGGAGCCATTAAGCCAATCGCTAGCGTAATGCTCGGATAACCATGTGAGGCATCGCGTGGCCAAAAACGAGGCGGAAGAGGTACCGTATGTTACGGTGGAAAGCTCGTATGTTGCCACTGTAGAAGTGAAATCATCTCGCCAAAGAATGCGCTGATAGCGTGTTTGTGACGGATGCACTAGAATTTGGCGATACATTTTAACGATATCGGCCGAAAATGCGAAACGATGTGTACGAAATCGCAACAGTATAGTAAATAGATCTTGCTGTACGGTAGGACCGACCATAAGCGTGTCGTTCAATGATATGCCAGCCGCGTCCTTGGCGGAGGCGTCGAAGACAACGCGAAATTTATTGGCGGCGGGTGCCTTAACGATGCAATGATGCGGTAAGTAGAAGGACCTTGGATCCTCGGGGGGGTCGGAAATTAATTTCATATGACCTAGTGCATTGTATTCATTTATGAATTGCGAATATCGCGTTTTTAATTCCGAGTCGCGGCTAAGACGCCTTTCAATGCCACCGAGGCGTTTTAAGGCGATCTCCCTAGATTTAACGAAAGCGTCAGGCTCGGAACTCTTTAATCAGACTCTTTAAAGGGAAGTTTGACAATGAATTTGCCTTGATCGGTTCGAGTCATGTTTTCTAGAAAATGTCGCTCACACTGAGCTTCCTCTGAGGTATAATGATTGGAAACTGCCGAGATTCTCTACGTCCCAAAAACGAGATAATTGCTCGTGCAACTGCTTGTTGCTTATTGAAGCATGAAGAGAGTGCACATGTGAAGCTGCTTTCGGTGCAGTGTGCAATCGACCCGCCAATATCCACCCGAAGCGTGTCTTCTGTAAGGTAGGATGTGAGGGCGTTGCCTTGATTTGACCGATACAGAGCAAGCTCCAAAAATGTTCCGCGCCGATTAAAACGTCTATCTCAGACGAGACGTGGAACTGCGGATCGGCTAATTCGAGATTAGCCGGTATTTCGAAGGCATTTCTTTTAAGCGTGAAAGCCGGAAGTTTGCCGGTTACATGTTCGGTAACAATGCAATCGACTAGAATGCTGAATGAATTCGTGCGCGAGTGCAGCCGTATTTCAGCCGCTTGGAAAGCTCGCGTGGTAACATTGTTTATTCCCGAAATTGAAATGTACGAGGAACGTGTTTTAATATCGAGAGCGTCTGCGAGGTGCCGCGAGATAAAATTAATCTGAGAGCCCGAATCTAATAAGACACGGCATGCTCTGCGACAACCGTTTGCGTCGTAAACATAAGCGAGAACGGTCGAGAGCATGACGTCGCTGCGATCCGGAGTCGCGAGACCGCTCATAACAACGGGAGCAGAAGAGGTGGCTAGAGCCGGCGCGTCTACTGATCCACGATCAACTGATTCGGAGATGTCGGACTTGACCGACGTGGCAGCAGCAAGGTGAAGCAACGTGTTATGCTTGGCCTTGCAAATTTTGCAATTGCCAGAAGGGCATTTATTTGATGTATGATCCACCGATCGTAAACAGTTAATACAAATTTTGCGCCTTTTGATTTCCGCAATCCTTTGCGGAACGGGTAATGCTATGAGCCTTTCGCAATGATAGATGAGATGCTCGCCCTTACAAAAGGAGCATTTTATTTTTATAGAGGCAACACAAGATTGCTGCTTCGCGCTCGATTGCGACTGCGACCGCGTATTAACATTCTTGGATCTACTGCTTGTCTCAAGAGTTATACACCGATAAGCAATAAAATCCGTAAATTGTTTGAGTGTAGGCAGAGCGGGGCCTACCAATGACAATTGCCACTCTCGTGATGTGAGCGCGTCGAGCTTATTGCTTAAAATATAAACAAGTAAATCGTCCCACTGCACTGTGGGGCGTTTTAACGCCTGAAGGGCGTGAATATGTCGAGTAGCACCATCCGTGATCTGACGCAATTCAGCGACGTTTTCTTTCGCCATAGTTGGCAAATCTAAAATAGCTTGTATATGACTTTGCACAATAGCGCGTTTGTTATTGTATCGTTCCTTCAAAAGGTCCCATGCTACTTGGTAGTTTGTATCGGAAATTTCCAGCGCGCTAATTACTTTGAATGCATCGCCGGTGAGAGAAGCTCTTAAATACTGCAACCTTTGAACGGGACTTAACGACGCGTTTTCATGTATGAGAGAATTAAAGCTGTCGAAGAACGGGCACCACTCGTCATATTTCCCGGAAAATTTCGGTAATTCTAATTTCGGTAGCCTTATGTGGCCGAAAGACTCGCGGCCGACGACACTAGAAGACCACCGTGACGGAGAGGCCGCGACGCGTTGCGCAGTATTGTGGCCGAAAGACTCGCGGCCGACGACACTAGAAGACCACCGTGACGGAGAGGCCGCGACGCGGGATAGAGCAATTCGCGTATTTGAGCACATAAAGCATAATGAAAGTTTTCGAAGGGAGCGCGATGTGCTTCTTCGGATTCGTCGATTAATTCTAAGTTTGTTTGAACGCTATCATAATCTGTCCAGTACCTGTCGAGTTTAGCACATCGCTCTCCGAGTTGAGCCGCGATTGACGGCGTAACGGACGCGATAGCTTCCGTAAATGTACATATGCGCGTGCACGCGGCGATAATCATTTTGCGCCTGCGCTGGAGCGACGCGGCGTCCTCGTTGTCAACTTTCGGCATGACGAACGCAGAACGATAAATAAACCCGTTAAAATTGACTTGATTACTGGCACCGGCACTGAGATAGTTGCTCTCACCTTACAAAATTAAATGCGTGTGTCGCACTATGATGTATGCGCCAGATGATGCGTTGAAGACGTCCTCCCAGAGAGCGATGAAGACTGCCGAAGACCGCGTGACGTCACAGGATGATACCTGTTGCTCCGATCGCGTGGCAATGGCTGCTCTGCGCTGCTGGGCCGGATGTGCCTTGACGTCGCAAGAAACGACTGATGTACCTCGATGCACCGAGAGCTATGTTTGCGAGCCTCGGTATGTCGTGGTGAAAAGGTTATAGGCTGAAGAGCAGCTAACCTTGTATGTCTCGAATCCCCGATGAGAATTTGCGTGCTCGGCAGAGTGCTAATGGCGGACCTCGAGTGCTCGTCTCACTGGCGATGGCGAGCCCCGACGGTTGCTCCGCAATATCAGTGGTAAATAGTCACCGCTATATCCGGCTCGAAGGACCAAATTGTTTCATGTGAGATGGCCGTGCCTCGCGTTGTAATGTTGCGAAGGCTGGCCCCACGCGTTTTCCCGGTGTGAATCCTCTCGGGAAGCGTGGTCGAAGAATATGTATTCCTCTGCAGTTGAGGAGGCTGTTGCCAACAACGGATTTGCGGCCACTGACTATCGGTGGAGCCGCGGAAGGATCTCCCAAAATGATGCAAAGGCATTTAGAAAGTAAATACTTGACTTTATCAACTGCACGAGCCCGCACGGTGATACAGGGATCGATAGCTCTTTAGAGAGCGTAACGGTAACAATTAAATGATCGCCATCGACGGTTACAATGGTAATAATAAGAAGGATCCAGAAGGATCGCAATCGAAACGGTAACGAACGGATCGCGCAGGACTCGCACGGAGAGAGGGAACGAACCGCGGGCGAAGATAACCGAAGAGTCGCAAGCGCGTCGCGAACGATAAGAAAGTGCCAGAGCAGTGTCCAGTCACGCTATTGGTCTAAAGATAACGCGAGCGTTAAATGTGACATGCGCCAACTTACGAAATATCGAACACTTGGTCTTGAATTGTGTCGAGAATTGCTCGCTTTTGTTCGCTTGTATAAGTTCGTTTTTCTATTAGCGTTTCGTATAATTCCATAGCTAGTTGGTCCACGCGTCGACCGTACGTGTGTGCATTCTATCCCGATTTCTGTTTTAAAGTGTTGAATTCTAATTGTAGATACGACGTTCCACGTTTCCCTAAGTAGTTGTTCTCGATTTCTCGTCGCAGTTGCTCGAAATCGCGGACGTTTCTTGTTTGAAATTCCAGTAGGAGTTTTTCTTTTAGTTTAGTAGTTAATATTTCTTCTAGTAAAGCAGGTCGTTCTGCGTAATTAATTTTTTCCATTGCGTAATTATTGGCGCTTATAAATTCTTGCGTTTTATCCCGTTGAGATCCGTCTATTTCGGGTATTATACTTCGAGCGTCTTTTAAACGTAAATATCCCGTTGGCCGATTTGTTAATTCTCTTACATTATTTGGTGTTCGCCCGTAAGTTATGCTTAGTGATCCCTGCCTGTCGTCAGGTTGGACGAGTCGAACATTTTCTCGTTCGCAGTCAGTAAATTCCATTCGGTCCAATCTATCTTGTAAACCGGTAATTGCTGCTATCAAATGATCTAGGATTTCTTCCTGACTATTTGTTACTCGCGTTTCGCCCGTGGTTTCTCGGAGACGTCCTATCTCCGTTGTATTTAGGTCTGCATGGCTTATAGTGGGTGTTACTGCGATTAATGTTCACGCTCCTTTTTTTTTTCTGAGCAATATCTTTAATCGGAAGG